CTGGGCAGGTTCTTCAACATCATAATGATCTGTGATGTTTTAGGAGTGCTGAGAATTAGAGGAAGTAAAAAATGCAGTTAGCGTTGTCAATTGCGAAGAAGCATAAGAATATAAGAACAAAATGAAAGCAAAAATTAGCACCCTGTGTATCCAGAAGAACGCCGGGATCATCGTCACGCTAACCACCGAATGATGCAGCGCTGGTCAAGCTAACTGAAAACTTCTTAACTTCATAGTTAAGAAATAAGGCAATTTCAGTTATTCAAGAAACAATGAGTGCATACACTGTGAGATAATTAAAATACTCGAGAATTCTAAGAGCTGCTTGGCTTAAACATGTAAAAAACTGTGGTAGACTAAATTGAAATGCCGAGAGCAAAAACAACAAATACCGATAGGCGATTTTAAAATAATAAACAGAAGGGCGCCAGTGAGGTAGAAGGATTTGCTTGAAAAACTATATCGAATTATGTGGATGAGAGAAACCCAAAATAGAGATGAGCAGCGAAATTGCCAAGAAAGAACAGTTGCTCAAAGTATTAAAGCGTGTATTGACAAACGAAGATGTACACATTTAAAGACACACTTAGTGATATTGCTATAGCCCGTGAAAAATAAAGAACAATTTTGGTTGTAGTGAATATCACTGGAACAACTTACAATTGCGTCTATATTTCCCGCATCAAGAAAACAGACGTGATTTTATTTTCACATTCTTTATAAATAATTTGTGCCGCGATGCGAATTTCATTAGTGCACCTCATCGTTTTCATTCGAAAATTGGTGCAAATTAGGACAGCTGCGCCGGGCAACGGCATGTGCACTGGCACCGATGATCGCCTCACTTCGAGAAGGCCAGAGTTCTCAGTTCTCCATCCCTGACATTAAAAACAAAGTCTAATGTACAAAGTTTTTACTTCCTGATATATGTGCGAGTGTGTGTGTGTATGTGTATGTGCAAGCTGCCACTTATCTATGTGATCGTACGTATGTATGTACGTATATATGTATGTATTTATGTATTTATTTATTTATTTATTTATGTATGTATGTATGTATGTATGTATGTATATATGTATGTATGCGTGTATGTACGCTTGTTTTGTCCCAAAAACAGGAAGCTGATAATGCTGAATCATTAATGATGAGTACACTTGTATGTGCAAGTATTTTATGTGTTTCTTGTATTTGGTTGTATGTGTTTGTTTACTGCATGTATTTATGTGTGTTTGTTTTTTTATTTGTATTTAAGTGTATATGTGTGTGCAGGTGTTTGTGCACCCATTAGTAGCTGATAAGAATTTGATCATTTTTTGACTTCAATCAACTAATATACTGACCTGGTAGTTAGATTGTTCCGGCAAATTAGTAGGGATATTATTGAACCCAGTTCCAAGATTTGCTCATGTAATATTAGATCATCAAGGATTGTCGATGAGTGGGAAAAAAATAACCGGTTTTTGTCTTGATCGTAGCTTTTTTCATGCATGATCATGCTTTTACAAACGTTTTCACTATACTGCTCCATTTTGTCTCTCGGCCCGCTGTTTTTCTCGTATTTTAGCCGCATTTAGTGTGTCACCACTCGTCTTCCCGCATAAGAAGTTCGTTCCTCGAAAAGTAATTTACGGAATTTTATAACGAATTTTTGCATTTCAGTCCCAGGCAAATGACTGCTCGAAAAGTTGCACTTTATGGATTATTGATTAAATCGTGTCGTTCTTCTTCCATTGCACTCCAGAGCAGCCGAAGAAATTTGTGCTTTAGTAAGTTTGAAATTTAAAAAAAAAACTAGCTGAAAAAAATTACAGATCAGGAGAAGCCTGATAACGATAAATAGCTTGAATGATAAGTAGCAAATTTTATGTTTCTTAGAGACAAAGATCACTAATGGCGGAATTGCTCTCGGGCAAATAATTAGCAAACATAGCTCCAGGAAAGTGCTGCTTTCCGAATACTTTCGCCTCTCACAGAAAACGAACACAGAAAGTGTTCGTTTTCTGTGAGAGGCGGAAGTATTTTGCCTTTTGACGGAATATTTAAAATACTAAGGCCAAGACCGTTCAGACAATTTGTGATGGTATTAGATGCTATTGGTATTATCAGGCAGTGCAGCATTGGTCAAAGTAGTTAGTGAGGTTGCCAGCAACACTATGAATTCTAGCCCAGGGAAGTACCAAGGAGTAACTAATGACTTGTTACTTGAACGGTTGCTAGTTCACTACTGATTCATTAATGGCGTAGTCGAAAAAGGCGCCATTTCCTCTTTTTTTTTTTTTCGATTCATGGCCGTTTTGACAGGTGCTGGTCAGTATTCTGGCAGATCTGGAATTATTTTTGTGTAGGTTGATATTTTTCCTTCTAATTCAGAGGTTTTCTTGTTTGTTGATATGATTGCCGTAGAAAATACAGTCAAATTGAGGGTGAAAAAAAAAGATTGGTTATAGGAACAGCAGCAAAATGCCAAAAAGCGATAAAAAAAGCATTTCTTGCTTCATCGGCCTTTGATCCTGAAAACAATTTTTTAGAATTCTCTGACGAACAACTGCAACTTGACGAAGCAGCTAAGAAATTTGTAGCTGATGAAATTATTCCAGTAGCTGCTGAATATGACAAAACGGGTAAATATCCACGGGATGTACTCAAGAAAGCTCATGCTAATGGATTTTTGAATACGATGGTACCAAGCAACTACGGTAATTCCTAACAATTTAAATTTTGAAATTGTTTCATTTTTTTATTCATTTGTTTATTCAATTTGGACAGTTGCTCAAAAACTTCCACTGATTTTACTTTGCTTTTCAAAGTAAAGATGTGAGTTCAGAAAGGTGATTTTGTGCTGGAGGCGAGGGTAGGAGGGGCCGAGACGGGGAGGGAAGAGGGAGGAGATGGAAAGTGCAGTCCAGTGAAGTTGCTGCTGATAAATACCTAGTAGACTGTATGGTTTGGGACGGAGAGGACAAAAACTTGTATCCGGTCCTCGACTCAAAAATTTCTGGGAACTTGGTTTTGTGAAGCTTCAAATCTTAGGTTTCTTTCGCCCTTAACTTGTAATGTGATTCTGTGATTAGCATCTTTAGAAGTTTCCTTCAAATTCAGTTAGGAGCCAAAATACTCCTGCTCCAGATTCTTTTGTTTTGTAATTGAGGATTTAAATTATCTTTACAAACCATGTACAAACACACATAGATAAATTTTTAAAAGCGTGATGCACTTTTCCTCACATATGAAGAAACGCATAGAAAGTACTGGAATCAGTGTTTGTCATACTTTAATTTTTCTCAATTAAGGTGGCTTAGAATTGGATATGATATCAAATGCGATAATTTGCGAACGATTTGGCTATGGTTGCACCGGGATTTGTACCGCAATGACAACAAATCTTCTGGCCGAGACACCATTAATTTTGGCTGCCACGGACGAAATCAAGAAGAAATATCTGGGTCGCATGATTGAAGAACCATTGATGGCTGTTGGTATTTTTTATATATCAGCAAGAATTACTCTGCATTAATATTTTAACCGGTCAGCCGTTGCTTCACTGTTTCTTCTCGCCATTGTTGCAGCTTACAACTTCTCCATTCTTTTCCTTTTGACCGCTTGTCATTTACATCACCCCAAATAACCATTAAAGAGGATCGCTACTTCGAATTGGCAGGTGTCTCTTTGGCAGTATGTAAGTATCATACCATTATTCGTTGAAAGTTTGCCTATCTGCTGTCTCTCGCTCTTTGCCACATGACCAGTTCAGCTTTTCCTCCTGGTATATCCACCGAATAAGCCGGCAAAATCTTTGCAAATAGTTTTTCACCGAGTTGCTAAGCCCATATTAATCAGTTTTCAGTTCTCCAATTTAAATTTTAACTTTTTACATTTCTTGCAGTCTTACGCGGTAACCGAACCTGGTGCCGGATCGGATGTAGCCCGGACTCGAACACGATCCGAGAAAAAAGGTGACGAGTACGTGATCAATGGATCGAAGATGTGGATTACGAACGGTGGAGTAGCAAACTGGTTTTTCGTGCTCACTCGTAGTGACCCGGATCCGAAAACCTCAGCCAGCAAAGCTTTTACCGCATTTGTGGTCGATGCCGATACACCGGGACTAAGCTGTGGTAAAAAGGTGACTATTGAATTTGTTTGTGCTTTTCTTCATCAGCTCTGTTTTTAGGCATTTATCTAACAAACTGTCACGCTTCCGCAAGTGATAATCGCTTGTATTTATTTATCAATGAAGATAACGATTTAAAGATACAAGATAAAGATCTAAAGCCCTCATGGAGATGAACATAGAGATATAAGTGATGAAGCTGTATTCTGTTTAATAAGAAGCCTTTTTTATGAGTGAAAATTATAGCGTGCGAGAAAATCGAGCTCATCATTTTCACTATCTCCAGACCCTCCAAAGTAATTTGCTTTCACAACTCCACCGAAAAATGAAAATTGCTTGCAAAACGCAGCCCTACTCATAGCAATTTCCTTTTCGTTTCACATTTTTAGGCACATCCGTGATAGTATAATTTTTTTTTTTAAATTTCACCTAAGTGTATGTTTCCTGAATACACGGTATGCCAAGTCCGCTAGGCAATCTGTGTGGGTATCCATGTTAGTAATTTTGACAAAGTTGCCCTAAACATTATAATATTAATTAGCAAAGAAATGAGATTTGTAGAATTTATGTACATATTGGTAGCATTTACGCGCAACAATTAGCATTTACAGAATTATTTAGTAAACAACTAACAGAATGCTAGTAATATATTTATAGGAATCAAACATTCCAATTTTCTCAAAATCTTGGAAAATCCTTCATTTTCTAAAAAAAATATCTTGAATGGCGGGTTGCAGTAATAGAACAGTTATGAGCCTGATAATTTTTCAAGGAGATAAATATGGGGCAGCGCGCATCGGACACTCGAGCAGTAACATTCGAAGACGTTCGAGTGCCAAAATCACAGATGGTGGGTGGCCCTGGCGAAGGCTTCAAAATTGCCATGAAAACATTCGATACCACCAGGTTAGCATTACTGAAATTTATCAATGATGAAAATGTATGGTTTTAAAAATACCAAAAAAGTTGCATAGTAATTATTGCACTCATTTTTAGGCCTCTGGTAGCAGCAATGGCCGTTGGATTATCGGCACGTTGTCTTGACGAAGCTAGCAAATATGCGCTAGAAAGAAAGGCTTTTGGCACACAAATTGCTAATCACCAGGTTTGTTACAGCATCCGAAGGGTCTAGTAGTGGTTATAAAATTTGTTACTACTGCAATATCTATAACGGATTTTTCTGTCCAAAATCCAGATCAAAGTTTAAAATAACTGAGTACTTATACTGCCCTTCAAGTTCTGCACATGAATACTTAAAAACTCG